GCATGCGTGCCGAACAACCAAATCTTGCACTGCATGAATGCAGCGCAGATAGCGACACAATTAAGTTATGTGAAACACATGAAAGGTTTAAATAAGATAATATTGACAATGAACATTACATGACATTTAAAATAGTTTTGACGATTTGTCCTTCAGTCTGCCTGTGCATTTCTGACCCGCACAGCAAATGCAGACTTGGGCTAAATCTCCGCGATGTTCTCATTGAGAATGCAATTTCTAAAATGTTATTAGAATAAATTCATTTTCTAAACTGTTATGATACGGAAAGCCTGAAACCGACCACAGCAGTATAGACTTACACAGTAGGCTATCAGTCATCAGCATGATTATAATGAGAGAACTTGAGTTTAAATTGAATCGAATGTTGAATTGAATGTTTTATTGATCCGTCCCTTCTTTTCAGTTTCAATGATTTAGAAATCGTGCCAAGTTAAATTTATCCGTTTCTTGTTTTGGTTGGGCCTAAATAATGGGAGCGAAATTATACAGTGCCTCAAGTTTTACTAAAATAAAGGAAAGAATGAATAAAATATGCAACAGTTTCTTAATTAGTGAACAGATATCTTTTTCCCACGTAGTTCTCTGTCAAAATAAAGGACAGGTAACGAATAACAAAGTAGGCCTATGTGCGTGACAAAAATGCATGTTGTTTTCTTAAAGGAATTTTAAAATATAAACTAAATATGTATTTTTGACAAATATTAAGTAATGTGAGAATATTGACATTTAGCATATTAATCCATGTATGTAGCCTAGCCTACTGAAATAGGCTACCACTTTTAATGCTCTGATGCAAAGTAAACCACCATTTCTTTAAGGTAATATAACACATGATTCATATTATATAAATAATGCTGCACACCTGATAAATGTTTCAAATCTAAAATATGGTGTGATACTTAGCTTAGCGTAAATATAAGCACAAGCTCATAGATTTGACATTTATCCTGCTTGAATTTGTTCTAAATGAGAAACGCATCTATTCATAATAAATTACATTTACTTTCTTTTAATTTTGTAGGATACTATTAATACTAGTTATATATTTTTTTTTTTTATTCCCTGGTATCTGCTTATTATACTGTGTTTTAAGGGGCTTGCTTTGCTCTTTTTGTGATAACTGGCAACCCTTCACCTGGAGCTTTAATCAAGAGAGGAAAGAGTTCAATAGTGACTAGAAGGAGAGCAGCAGTATGCAAACTGAACATCAGCTACTGTTATTTAAATTATACACACCTAATAACTGCTTCATTAATCGATTCCAGCCCAGTGAAGATTGACGCCACGCAGCCGCTCATATTCACCTCTTGTGTGTGCACCCGTCTTCTGCGTCATTAAAATGTGATCGATTAATTTGAGTGTCAAGTTGAGAGACGTACAGTAAAATACATTAAATCCAGCTTTAATTTTGAATATGATCAAATTGAAGAACTTCAAGCAGAAAATAAATCGCTGCAGTCATCAGTCGCAACACTTACTAAACAAGTTGATACTCTCACTTCTGAAAATAGAAGAATCAATGAAAGGCTCCTTGAAATACAATCTAGAAGTATGCAAGATCATTTGATCTTCACTGGAATCCCTGAAAATCCTTCTTCCAATGATCCAGAAGCACGTGTTTAGTTGCACCCTAACCCACTTGCACCCTAAGCCTAAAGCACTAAGTTTCATGATCTCGAAGCTTAAACCTGACAAAGAAACTGTTGATTTGATCTCCTTCCATCATGTGCACAGGATCGATATATTATCCAGCAAAGGTCCTCGTCCTATAGTTGCCAAACTGCAGCACTTTAAGCATGAAGAGATCATAAAAAGTAAAGGAAAAGGGCTCAAAGGATCAAATTTTGGGATTAATGATCAGTTTCCGAGAGAAATCAACGAGCGCCTAAAGACACTTTATCCAATATTGAAGCAACAAAGACTGAATAATAAACATGCGTAATTAAGTGTGGATAAACTATTTATAGATGGACAACTTCATTGTGATCCCTCAGTAACTCCATGGATGTATTAAGAATTATGTGCAGCTCTATTATTAATGTGTGACTAATAATGTTGCCTCGTCCAAAGGGTAACATACAAAAAAAAAGAAAATAAAGTTCAAAGCTATACTTTGCCCCTGATTACTGCTATTGATTGTGGTTTATAAATGTTTTTTGTATTGTTTTGTTGGTATGTAAAAAGACAGTATAAGTCATTATAATCCATAATTATGTCCCCACTGGATGCAACAAATGCCTTGTTTATAATGGGTTTTATTGGTTTTGTCTCGTCGCTCCCGGACACGACATCACAGTATGGTGAGGAGCGTAACATTTCTGTCATACGCTTGAGGTATTCGGCCAATCACAACGCACTGGATAGCTGGCCAATCACAGCACACCTCGCTTTTCAGAACGATGAGCTTTGTAAAAATCTACATTTCATTACACCAAATACACAAAATAATGTTCTTTTTAGCAACGTCATATGACCCCTTTAATGATTCGATGGGAATGGGTAAACAATCCCCAGAAGAAATTAATGGGATTTTAAAAAATATTCATCCTGATTCTCTCATTTTTATTCGTGATATTCTTCTGTAAATGATCCGAAATGATCTGATATCCAATTATATTTAAATAAATTAAACCTTCCAAGTCTAACAAAAGAGCAAGCTGATTATGTAGATATGCCACTGACTGTATCGGAGTTGCATAGCGTGCTGATGAAAGTTCCGAATAATAAAGCTCCAGGGCTAGAGGGCTTTCCCACGGAGTTTTAAAAGCATTTTTGGGATATATTGGCTCCATTGTTTAGTAAATGATCAGAAAAATAAAGACAAAAGGTAAGATTCTATCTCATATGAATACAGCTTTGATAATATTATTATTGAAACCTGATAAAAATCCAACGTTGCCTTCTAGTTATCATCCATTACCTTTAATAAATACAGATATTAAGATAATTTCTAAAGCTCTTGCATTTCGTTTGGAATCAAACATTTCTACAATTATTCATAAAGATCAAACAGGATTTATTAAAGGTCGTCATTCCTCAAGTAATTTAAGAAGACTTTTCAATATAATTGATATATCACAGCGTAATCAGTTACAGGCAATAATAGTATCTTTAGACGCTGAAAAAGCTTTTGATAAAGTTAATTGTAAATTTATTTTTGCGGTCTTGGAAAAATTTGGTTTTGGAAATTTGTTTATACTTTGGATATTTGTTTATACATTGGATAAAGACAATGGTAACACTTTATTTTAATGTCTCTTAACTAGTTGCTTATTAGCATGCATATTACTAGAATATTAGCCATTTATTAGTAGTAATTAAGCACATATTAATGCCTAATTCTACATGACCTTATTCTGCATCCCTAATCCTTCCCAATACCTAAACTTAACAACTACCTTACTAACTATTAATAAGCAGCAAATTAGGAATTTATTGAGGGAAAAGTCGTAGTTAATAATGAATAAGTGTTCCCTATTCTAAAGTGTTACCAATACAATTTATAATGAACCTAAGGCATCAGTTATAACAAATGGAAAATTATCGCATAGCTTTGTACTACAAAGAGGTACTAGACAAGGATGTCCTCTATCTCCTTTATTGTTCGCTATTTATTTTTGGCATAAAAGAAAAATCAATAATTTTGACCCATACAATGTATTTTTGGCTATTGCTACAAATATACCCCAGCGACTTAAGACTGGTTCTGTGGTCCAGGGTCACATATTGTTGTATCTTTGAGATCCATCTAATTCATTAACGGAACTTTTCAAGACTGTATCATCATATTCACAGATTTTTGATTATACTATAAACTGGACAAAATCAACAATACTCCCAGTTACAGTACATTCATGGAATCCTCCATCCCAACCCTTATTCTCATTAACTGTTAGAGATAATATTAAATATCTGGGTGTAATTATTTCTTCAAATCTTTCAGTAATTGTTCAGTTAAATTATTCTCCGGTATTAACGAAAATTAGTAATGATTTAAAACGTTGGAATACTTTGCCTCTTTCTTTAATAGGGCGAATAGCAACTGTCAAAATGAAAATCCTCCCTCAGATTAATTATTTATTTTCAATGATTCCATTTGAGCCTTCTTTTAAATGGAATATTTATTTATTCATTGTGCTAAGCCAGGGGTCACCAAACACTGGTCCTGGAGAGTTTAGCTCCAACTTGCTTCAACACACCTGCCTGGAAGTTTCAAGTATACCTAGTAGGACTTTGATTAGCTGGTTCAGGTGTGTTTATCCAGCGAGTGAGCACAAGTGAGAGTGCAGTCAAATGGAAGGCGAAAGAGCAAAAGGGGGCAGGAGCAAGAAATTGCTCCAATGTTGCACCAATCCAGTGCACCAATCCAGTGTTTTAAGCAAGCCGCTTAAGTCTGTTCCACGAAGCGGTGTTCCAATCAGATGTTGCTGCAGGGTGGGTCTATGCCCCGTACTGTTCCCTTTTCGTGCATAAATTAACATTTATGGGGTATAGTGTAGAGGTCTGCAAGCCCGACAGGGCCCGACACGCTCAGTCCATTCGGGCCGGGCTGGGCCTTTTTTTTTTTACAGATCGGGCTCGGGTCAGACTTGGGCTCATTTACCTTCTCTCCTTTTATTGTGCCATATACGCGCAGAGCACACATAGGCTACTGTATGAAATATTGTTATATTGATTATATTATAAATATTATACATCGCCTACGCAATACGCAACGCATATATGCACGCATTAGCATAGATGTGACAGTTGACCATGCAGAGCATCAGGGAGAAGTTGGAGCGTGGGGAGTTACTAAAAGTTCCCAATGCTTCGGGAAAAGCTGCATTTTGGAACAGTCTTGATTTTATTACCACGGCAAACAGTAAGTAAATTGGTTATGTGCAGTACAGAATCTGCAAACATATCCTTGCACATGACAGCAAAAAACGCACGCAATAGGCTAAAGCGTGGCGCAAAGCCCCAGCAAAAGTAATTACCTTGAATGTGTCTGGGGGAAATAGTAAGGATATATTTTAATTATTTATTAATAAATTAGTGTTTTCTGAGTCCGTGTCGCAAAGATGAAGACAAACGATCCTGACTAGCCATCTCCTCATTGGACGAGCCTTTAGAGAGAAATTTTATAAAATCCGTAAAAAGAGTTTTTGTTTTTGATTTGAATTATTTAGTTTTAAAGTAGTCATTTAAAGCTTTCTATAGACATATTTAGCAAATCTGTGAGGCAAGTATTCGCTGAGTTTCAGTTCATCGTTGTGAAGCACTCCTGGTCGAAATTGCAGAAAGCGCATCCTGTATGTATCATTTATTTTATAAAAGCACAACATTTTGTTGATATTGTGAGTGCACACAAATAAAAGTAGACCCTTTACAGTTCCGAGTGATGTATTACTCTTACCTTTATGAGTAAAAATGACGGCATATTTTAATTTATTTCAATGCAAGTGATCGCGCCGGCATCCTGTATAGCTCTCCACACAAACGATTAGATATGCGTCTAACAGCGCACATTTATATAGGTTAAACATTTAAACTAACATTGTGATATGCTTGAACTGTTTTCCATCTATAGATTTTATTTTAGGCAAGTCGTGATGATTTGAGAAGGCTAAATTGATCAAACATAGGCTATGATCAACTCACTGTCTGCCGCTGGCCGCTTGGTCGTTGCTTAAAAAAAACAAAAACTTACGTTTAACGAACAAAAAAATTTTTTTTTCATTTTCCAAACGTTTTTCTAAATTAACTTCAAAAAACGAAATGAAATATAATCACTTTGACATTACATACAAAACAGAACTATTTTAATAGCTGAAACAGTAGTAAGCTGTTTTGGGAGAAGGGGGGAAAAAAGACGGGCTCGGGCCAAGAATTCTGATGAGCTGTCGGACGCGGGCCGGGCTAGGGCCTGAGCGTCTCGGCCCAGGGTCTGGCTAGAGCCTATATTTGAGGCCCGTGCAGTGCTCTAGTATAGTGTTAGGTTTACCATTCCAAAAGGGTAGACATGATTACATATCTGTAGCATGTGTATAATGTGAACAGCTCAGAGTAGTGTCCGGTTTGAAGTCATTGTATGACCACGATGCCATATTCATAACCAAAACTTCAAATACTTTCATTGTGCTAAGCCAGGGGTCACCAAACACTGGTCCTGGAGAGCTGGTGTCCTGCAGAGTTTAGCTCCAACTTGCCTCAACACACCTGCCTGGAAGTTTCGAATATACCTAGTAAGACCTTGATTAGCTGGTTCAGGTGTGATTAATTAGGGTTGGAGCTAAACTTTTCAGGACACTTTTGTAACAAAAGTCGATAAAACTATTTCAGGGTATCTGCAGGATTTTTAAAATCAAATTTAAGACTTATAAAGACCTTTCTAAGACCTGCACAAATAAAACTAATACCATATGAGCGGGGTAGGTTAATGTCTATGGTAACATATTAAACGTTATTAAATGTCTGTAAAAAGCATGATTTACAGTAAAGTTTTTCACAAAAACAAAAAAAGTTTATAAAATGATAAATGTCACATTTCTGCCTTTAAACTATTTTTAAGAAACAGGATGAGTCAAAATTACCAATTATTGTATTATATTAATAACGTATGTTATATATTTTAAAACATTTTATTATTAACAAATAAATAACATAAATATATCTTAGTGTCTTAATTGTTTAGATTTCTAGAAGGCACATCAGCTTCTTGACCATCCACCAGTTCACATTTACAACTGCATGTTTGCAGCGTAAAACACGGGTTGATTTTCACATTGGTCTAAACAAAAACAGCACATGGCTAAAAAAATGCAAAATAATTCATTCTCTGCCAGCAGGTGGCGCTCCTGGAAGGCAGAATAAAGCGGTTTCCCTGGTAGCGGCAGTACACAAAGCAGAAGCACCTGACTTTGAAACATGCAGCGCTTATATTTATTCAATGAAATCATAGTATTTTTAAGTTTAATAATCACATTAAGCTTTATGGCAATTTGTGTCTTTCTGTCCCCAAATGTAACACCTCTTGAAATCATCAATCAAGACTTTCTTGTACCATTTAAGAATTTTTATGGCCTTAAATTTGATACAACTACATTTAATTCATTTTAAGGATCTGTGGGAAGCTTTATTACTTCTGTTTATAATCTTAAAAAGGTGATACAGCGCTTACCTTTGCCAAAACTGTTTTCTCCGTCAGTGAAGTTGACATTCCTTCATTTCACCAAAGTTAGGCAGCGGTGAAGTAAGAAAACCGTGATCAAAGACATGATGTTATAAAAAAAGGAATAGCAGATAAAATGTTAAAATGTATGCAAAAGTCGAATGTGGCATTATTTCTTTGCTTCTGTGCTAGCTAACTTTCCTGGGACTTGAGTCGCGTAGAAAGAGCATGGGGAGGTTTTATTTAACTGCTCATATCATTAATGAGACGGAAAACCACTTTGAATTTTAATAATTCACCCCCATCCTCTGTTCCATAAGCACACATACATATAACGCTACACCACAGTTCATACACTACAGAGAGTCATGCGCCTTCTCCCAACTGCACAAAATCATCTATAAACAATGCAATAAAGAAAAAAACAGTTACACAGTACTCGACTGCAAAACAAAACACTAAAAGCATCCCAAAACAAACTTTCAGAAGCACTAACAGAAATTAAAGACTTTGACTTAACAAAGAAAACTTTAGATTTTCTTACCTGGCTGGTACTTGTAGCTTCACCACTTAATTTTTGTTAGTAATATGTTGTTGTAACTTGCGTTACTGAGATTGTAACGAGTAATAATATTACCCAAATTTTATTAGTAATGCGTTATATTACTGCGTTACAGCAAAACGTAATATACTACTGTAATATTATTACTTTTGTAATGCGTTACTCCCAACACTGTTTGTCAAGTATGATATCAGTTTATATCCCTACGAGATCTCTGAGGTCTGAAAACCAACACCTCCTTTGTGTTACTAGGACAAAATACAAACACAGGGGAGATGGAGCCTTTACGCGAACTGGTCCAAAACTGTGGAATGACCTCCCTCATAGTATTAGATCCGTTAATTCACTACCGGTTTTCAAAGCTGTGTTAAAAGCACATCTTTTAAAGACTAATGAGGAGTTGTTGTGATGCAGGTTTAGTTATTTTAAATTGTATCCATGTTGTTATGTGATTTGTGTTGTTATTTGAGACTATGCTTGTTTTTATGTAATTTTATTGTAATATTGTGAAGCACTTTGGGCAACCTGGTGTTGCATTAAACTGTGCTATATAAATAAATAAACAAACAAACAAACAGAACAGACAGAGACAAAAGGAGAACTAAGGGTTTAAGTACAAAGGAACTGATGAGTTAATTAATCTGACAACAGGTGAACAGAATGACTTAATCAGGGCAACTCAGGATAACTAGGTCAAAAGAACAACAGACAGGAGATCAGGAACAGGGAAAAACACAACCAAGAGTCCATGACCTCGCCAATGTTCATTGGCCATTTCTTGTACTATTTAGAGGTGATTGTGCTGTCAAGTGACACACTATACGTCAGTATCAATGTAACGTTAAATGGGACTGATGTAGCAAATTAGCTCAAAAGGAAAATGTATATAAATACACTGAACAAAATTATAAACGCAACACTTTTGTTTTTGCCCCCATTTTTCATGAGCTGAACTCAAAGATCTAAGACTTTTTCTATGTACACAAAAGGCCTATTTCTCTCAAATATTGTTCACAAATCTGTCTAAATCTGTGTTAGTGAGCACTTCTCCTTTGCCGAGATAATCCATCCACCTCACAGGTGTGGCATATCAAGATGCTGATTAGACAGCATGATTATTGCACAGGTGTGCCTGAGGCTGGCCACAATAAAAGGCCACTCTAAAATGTACAGTTTTATCACAGCACAATGCCACAGATGTCGCAAATTTTGAGGGAGCGTGCAATTGGCATGCCGACTGCAGGAATGTCCACCGAGTGATGAATTCCAAAGATGTTCTGACTCGATGGTGACTGGGAGTTTCTTCCCAGTGGAAAGTGAAAAAGAGCTAAGAGAGACATCAGCTGAGATCCTAGGATCTTTGGTGAATGGAAAGTCAAGGCCGAGGCCTAACACAGACTTAAGGTACAGAAGGTTTCTAGCTCACATCCTCATCTTTTCCATATCTAACAGAACCGCAGACTGACCGACTATGTGTTGGAGCCCACCGGGCACGCCCGCACCGGCTCAGGCTCTCCACACGGGCCTTAGAAGATTTTAGCAGAAGACTTAGCAGAAGAAGAACACATGGGCGGAACTGTGCGTGAGCCTTTTAAGGTCTGAGAAGATTCACGCCTCTCAGGATGGGCTTGTCCAATGAGAAAGGCTGAAATTCCAAGCGGGAGGTTGGAAATACTGGGGAGTTTTATGACCCTTTGTGTGAGAGCATGGTATTTTGCATATGGAACTCTATTGGGTGTTGATGCAAAATTACTAAAGGTTCTTGGAACACTAATATATTGCCTAAGTACCAACATATAATATACACTCTTGTTTAGATCATCAGAAGATTAATTCATAGATACTAAACATGATAAGATTACATATAGGTAAGATTACATGAGCGAGTGGTTCTATCATAAGCATGCATAAAACAGTATAGAATACAAAAGACAATATACAAGAACAGTAACAACATACACAATGACCTGAAGGATATGTGTGTTCATTCAAAGAAAGGTTTTCCTATGAATTAACTAGAGAAGAGTCCATTTTGCTGTGCATTATATGTCTTTCCTATGGAAAATGTAGTAAGAGGGAGAACTCTCAACATGCCATTAGGTCATAAAGGTTTATCTGATCTGGCTGAGGTATCCTGGTTGGCATGGTAAGCAGGGGCCTAGTGTCGTTCCCAGACATGCTGGCACCCAGTATGTTTATTGGGTGAGGGGTCTGTGATTATTTGTTAATCTAATGAATAATTGATTTGTTAAATCAAATAAAAAATGGTGTATGATTGGTCCAAACGCTACACTGACTAAAAAGACAACACTGAATTTAAAATAATTCATATTCACAAGCAAATTATGAACTAATTTACGTATATTATTTAGAATGAATTCAAGCAGCATAGTAAATGTCAGACTGTGAGTCTGACTACTCTATGAATTTTTGTACTAGGTTTGATAATGTACACCTTTTGTTACAATCATCTAGGGTCAGCTGCAGCATAAATAAAGGATGCTCACTCATTAATTGTATTTGCTAAACAGAAAACAGATTTATTTACAAATAAACAAGAAATACAGAAATAAAAGGGATCAACTTCAGCACAAAGCGAGATGTAAAAACTCAGAGTTGCAGAGTAAGTTTTGAGTTGACAAAACCAAAGCCAAAGCCAACCTGGTTTAGATCAGGTTCACCGGGCTCACAAAGCTCGATATAAACATTCTCTGACACAGAGTTTGAGCCAGAGTTTGTGATTAACTTGAACCTGAAAGTGTGACACGTGCAGCAAACAGCCAATCACATGGAACATGGAGAGCGTCAGCAAAGCGTCAGCTGGATTCACTTCTCATGAGAGTCAGCGCAATTCAGTTTTCTGCTGAAGATTAAGAGATGTCGTTATTAAAAATGTAATACATTTAAATGCATTTACAAGGCTATTCAAAGGAATCAACTGAATTTAATTATTTATATATAGTTTCACACAGAGCTCAAAAAGAAAAAAATAGGTTTAGTC